GCCTTTAAGCAGAAGAAACAAGAACTGCTGGCCAAGGTCAGAGAAGGTAGGGCCATCTGCAGCAGCCTTGAGGATATTCCTAGATCAGCCAAAGAAGACAAGCAACAAATCGCAGAAGTCAATGCTATCTGGCTAGAAGCATTGAAAGCAATCCAGGATGTTCTAGACTTGTAATCTGTATATCAACATGTATCTTGTGTAGAATCAATGACAACCATATCTTCTGTTGTTTTATAGAATTTCCTGTTTTGGCTAAAGAGTCGATTTGAAAATAGATGATTCCAGACTTCTAACCTTCGTCCGATTAAGTCTGAAAACACAGCCTTTATCAAGAAAACCCCTCAACCTTCCGTTCCTTAGCCACATTCTCTTCGGCATTAGTACGGTGGCGCTTCGCTTTCTATTAATTGCGGTTACCTTTTACGCGTCCCGAGACGTCCATCACCTCGCTTCATGGCTACAAATACCAGCCGAGGGCTCTGGCCTCGAACACATCTATACTCGCAACTGTTTCTGTTCCTTTGCACCCTCTCCGCCCTTGTGAATTCTATAGCGGTTTTCTTCCCCCGTCTTGTAGATCCAACCAAACTCCATGGCTAGCGAGGGTAACCGAGACAAACGCGCGGCGGGGGAGGTTCTAGAGGAGGACATGCCGGTGAGCCAACGCCTTCGTCGTATGAGGTGAGAGCGATATCTTCTGCTCATGGCGATGAACTCTTCTAACTTATTTATAGGTTAGTCTTGAATGATAGCCTTCGTCCTCTTCCCAGGGCCAGTGAGCCCTCCAATGCCGTACTGATGCTGCCTCTACGCCAGACTCATCGTTGGACTCCTCTGATTCTTATAACGGCGATGATGCCCAGTGTTTCCTTCGGGAGTGGAGGGCAGTCTAGGACCGTTATTCCGAGGCAACTCGGGAGAACGGCCAGCTTGAGATCCGCCTCAGGGTCTCTCAAGCCTCCCTTCATGCCACCGAGGAAGAGGCCAGCGCTGCTCGGGCGCAGCTAGCTGAGTTCGACACCATGGTGGCGGGTAAGATAGACTCTAAGAACACCTTTATTTTGACTTCCACCTTCCTTATCTTGATAGCTCTTTTGTTTCTGTGATCGCCAGCCCTGAAGGTGCAGTTGGAGTCCCTCCAACTGGCGGTGAACGTGGCTACGGCGGCCGTCAACGCTTGGGGCCCCCTCATCAACGCCTGCCTCCACGACATCCCCACCCGCATCCAGGAGATCGCCCTTCATGGCGTCTATCATGGCGCGTCGGTGGCGCTGGCCGCGGCGTAGGTCTAGACCGGGTACGAGCTCCACACCATGGAGACCGGCTTTCCGATGGGCGATGGCCCCGAGGAGCACGAGGAGTTGATCGAGGAATTCATCGACGCAGCGGAGGCCATTGTGGATATCACATCTGCTCAGGATGTGATAAACAATGTTTTTGATTGGTTTGTATTTATGGCAAACTAATTAATAAAGTCTCTGTTTTTTCCTATAATCGTATCTCAGTGTGCTTTCTGCAATGCCTTTGTATATGTCATGGTTGCTTCTGTGTTAGTTTTCTAATTTAAAAATAACATAGGAGCTGCACTTCGATGTTCTGTATGCAAACATTAAAATGATTTAATTGCTATCGCCAATGTGTTTTAAAGTTATAAGATGGTTAGCTTCAACCCACGTCATATGTAGTTCAAATAGATGTTCTCACGTATTTACTTGCTTTTTAACAAATTAAGTTTAATTAATCTAAATGCTACCTAAATATTTCTGAATAAAATATGATTAGTTTTACTTTGACTTTCTAATCCGAATTAACTCAATTTAGGTATTTTCCTACAATATCTTATACATATTTTATATAATTAAAATAAATGAAGCTCGTAGTTTTCTTTTTCCCATGTAAAGTGAATCTTTCGGTAGATGCTTCTTATTCGTCATAGCTCCGATGAGTGTGCTTTTCGTGTCTGTGTGATCGTAGCAACACGTAGATTTGATTTCAAATTCTTTTTCACTGATTGGTGTATTGTTGTAATATAGCTATGTTTGAATGCTAGGCAGTCTGTTCGGATGCTTGTGTGGTGCTTTATAATTTTGTCCAGTCGGTGAGTTTTAAGTGGTGATCAAGAAGCAATTCTTTGGAGGTTATGAATCAACAGAATAAGGATCTAAGTTTAAGGCAAGTATAGCATGGGATCTTCCTTATTGTCCTATTCACCTTAATATCATTTTAATCATATGCATATGTTTACCTTGGCAACCGTAGTAATTTTTCTAGCTATCTGATATCCTGGATTCCTTGATTCCTATAGGTTATTGCATTGGGTAGTATGATGCTAGTGCTCAATCAAAGCCATGATCTTATAACTTGAATAATGGTATATGCAATAAACACTAAAAGATGCTTTTTAGCAATATGGAACAAGGGAGCTAGAGTATTGGGCTGTTTTTATGGTGTTCTAGATTTATCTCCCTAATGACTTATTTGTAAGTGATTATCCGGGACTTACAGTATAGCTGTGAGGGCTACATGGCTCTGGCTTTAGCTTAGTATAAGGACCTTTTCTAGCTTGTTAGAGATTATCTTTATTGACGTAAGAATGACTTGCCGAATCGGATATAGGACAACCTCTACCCCTTGTGTATAGGCTGGTGTCATTGGGCCATCGGAAAGGGGGGTTCCAACATCTGTTTGCCGAGTGAATCTAATGACCCTAACTTGTTAGACGAACCTTTGAAAGGCTTCATAGTGAACCCTGCCGACCTTCCTTGGAAGTGGGTCAAGAGATTAGCTACCTCGAGTGAAAGGGTAAATCATGACTCACAGTGAAAGTGTATAACCTCTACAGAGTGTAAAACTGGTATATCAGCCATGCTTATGGTCACGAGCGGCCTTAGACCCTTACGGAATAGATGATGAACACTGATGATACTGATGTTGAAGATGCTCACTAATGATTACTGTTTATGCTATTCATTATTCATGTTTACCTGATCGTGTGTTTATATGGGCTTGTGGATAAATTTGTTGCTCCTCAATTGCTAAAATGATGACTCATTAAAAGCTAATCGCAGTTAAACCAGTGTCAGCCTTTTGAGCCTCATGAACCCCATGTTATATTTGTTGAGTACGACGTGTACTTACGCTTGCTTTACTTTTTAAATCTTTGAAAAAATCCTGAATGGGTACCAGATTGTTAGAGTTTGGTGGAATTAGGCTTGTGATCAACCAATCAGTTGTCCCTATGGAATTGGAGTCTCCACCCAAAGATCGGAGTTGTCTTTCCGCTGTTTGCTGTCTAAGGTTATACCTTTTATACTAAGTACGTTATATATTGAGTATTTGTCTTTTGATATTACCCTTATTTGTAGCTATATGTGAGATTTGATTTTTTAGGCTCACATATGGTGTATATCTGGTTTTGTTCTTAAAACCGGGTGTATCACTCTTGCCACGAATTAATATAATATTTCGCATGGTATATATATTTCCCATTGCTTGATTCATCGCTGACGTGAGAGGACGTGACAGTCCAAAATATTTGTGTACAATAACTAGGCAAATGAATATGAATATTGAGGCGTGTACCGAGGCCGGCGCCAATTGTCTGCCTAGGCCTCTGCCGCACATAAGTACAAAAGTCCAGCTACAGACATAATTTGTCACGTACGTATATACGTCTCTTATATAGTCATGCAGCTCAACACTTACGTATCCTTGCCATCAAACTCAACGTCTTCTTGCATAACCACAATGTGTTATTTTTGTTCCAACCACACACTCGCTTGGCCCCACAACTCCATAAGGAACACACCCTCATTGAGCAGCCACAGCGTGTGATGAGAAATCGATGCAACAATCTGGAAAGAGAAAGTCGAGGCATCGATTTTGCCATTGCAGAAGGCGATGCTTGCTTCAGAAATACCGACATCGATGCTTCTACAATCCCCGGTGCCTGTGTAAACAACGACAGGTTGTTTTAGCCCCTCCCAATAACCAATTTTTACTTGTCTTATTATTATATTTATAATGATTTCTTCAATATAATTTATTGGACAAAGTGATGTAATTTGAGAATAACATAAATATATGTCATTTTTTTATAAAAAAATTACAAACTTTTTCTATGGATTTCAAATACCAGAAAAATATATGTCAAATTGTTCACAAATTTCAGAAAAAATACAAATTATGAACAATTTGTGAACGGGAGGGATCGAAGGCCCTTGCCGTGTTCTCCGTCCTGGCGACTGTCGCCCTCTGGTGGCCTCCGTGGCCGAGGCGCCCGCACCCAGCCTGTCGTCGGCAACGATGGGAGGGGAGAAGGCGGGAGCGGCGCAGGCCTGGATGCAGGCGTGCTTGAAGGTCTGGCCAGGCGGCGTGACGACAGGTCCGCCATCAGCGTGCTGGGGATCGGGCAGAGGAACTCCGCTGGTGGGTCGGCCGTGAACGACGACGGCGGAGAGGGGAACCGCAGGGCGGAGGGAGCCGCCGCGGACGGCGGCGGCGGCGACCACCACGGTTGCCCGGTGCCCGTGGCCATGAGCGATTGGCGAGAGGGCGTCTCAGTGGTCGCTGCTGCTGCATGTCTCAATCTGATGACCTAGGGGAGGCAGGGGAAGCAAATCCACGGACAAAAAACCGGTTGCTGGGGCTGGTTGAAACAACCGGTTGTCCATTAGCGTTTCTGTAAATGAACAATCTTTTTCAATGCCGCACTTGCATATGTGTGTTAGAGTCCAAGGCTATTGTTTGTCTGTGCGTCACATTATGACGGGCCCGCATTGTTTCAGGCATCGAAGATTCACGTTGTAAACTACAAAAATAGAATTGAGGCATCGATGAAACCAACCAGTGACATGGCTTTTCAAACTTTGCAACACTGCGCGTGCTCATATATATAAATCCCTTCATCCATTTCCATTTGCCACGTCCAGTAGTCTTCATCTATCAGTTCTTACGTTACACAACCACCTTGCTAGCTCCAGACTCCAGAGGTCTCAGCAATGGAGGTACCAGTACCACCATGGGCGTCGTCCTCCCTCGCGACGATGATCCTGCTGGCCACCGCGCTCTTCCTCGTGACGACGACCGTCCTCCGCCGTCTTGGCCACCAGCAACGTAAAGCAGCGCGGAAGCGCAACCTCCCACCGCCGGGCCCTCGGCCGTGGCCGGTGATCGGCAACCTGAACCTCCTCGGCGCCCTGCCACACCGCTCCATCCACGAGCTCTCGGCGCGGTACGGCCCGCTCATGTCCCTCCGCTTCGGCGCCTTCCCCGCCGTCGTCGGCTCCTCCGTCGAGGTGGCCGAGATCATCCTCAGGACCCAGGACCTGGCGTACCTCGACCGGCCCGGCTTGGCATGCTGCAAGTACACCGTGTACAACTACTCCGGCTTGCTGTGGTCGCACTACGGTCCGTACTGGCGGCAGCTCCGCAAGCTGTGGATGACGGAGCTCTTCAGCGCGCGGCAGATCAGGCTGACGGAGGGCGTCCGTGCCGAGGAGGTGCGCGCCATGCTGCGCGACCTGCACCCGACGAGCACGAGCACGAGCACGAGCACGGCGGCGGTGGTGCTCAAGGAGCACCTGCTCATGGTGACGCTCAACGTGATCTCGCGCATGGTGCTGGGCAAGAAGTACGTCGGCGAGGACGCCGGGTCGGCCGCCGCGGCGACGCCGGAGGAGTTCAAGTGGATGGTCGAGGAGATCTTCTTCCTCAACGGCGCGCTGCACGTCGGGGACTTGGTGCCGTGGCTCAGCTGGCTCGACCCGCACGGGTACGTCGGCAGGATGAAGCGGCTTACCAAGATGTTCGACCGGTTCATCGAGCACGTGCTGCGCGAGCACGGCGACCGGCGGCGGCGGGAGGGCGACGCGTTCGTGCCCAGGGACATGGTCGACCTGCTGCTGCAGCTCGCCGACGACCCCGGCCTTGACTTCCCCCTCGACCGCGACGGCGTCAAGGCATCCGTTCTGGAGCTCATCACCGGCGGCACGGACACCTCATCGGTGACGGTGGAGTGGGCCATGTCGGAGCTTCTGAGCAAGCCCGACGTCCTGGGCAAGGTGACCGACGAGCTGGACCGCGTGGTGGGCCGCGACCGCCTGGTCAGCGAGGGAGACATCCCGGGCCTGCCGTACCTGGACGCCGTCGTGAAGGAGACCATGCGGCTGCACCCGGCGGTGCCGCACCTGGTCCCGCGGGTGTCGCGTGAGCACACGACGGTGGCCGGCTACGACGTCCCAGTCGGCACGCGCGTGATCGTCAACGTCTGGGCCATCGGCCGGGACCCCACCGTGTGGGGCGACGACGCCGGTGAGTTCCGTCCGGAGCGGTTCCTCGACGGGAGCAAGATGAGCAATGTCGACGTGAAGGGCCAGCACCTGGAGCTGCTGCCGTTCGGCGCGGGTCGCTGGATGTGCCCCGCCAACGGCTTTGGGCTCAGGAGGGTTCAGCTCGTGCTGGCGAACCTGGTGCACGGCTACGCGTGGCGGCTCCCCGGCGGCATGGCGCCGGAGGAGCTGGGCATGGAGGAGAAGCTTGGGACCTCCGTGTCTCGCTTGCACCAGCTCAAGGCTATCCCTGAGCCCAGGCTTCCGGATCACATCTACTTCGGTCCGTGATTCGATCGATCTCACACTACCCGAAAAACGTCCTTTGCCGAGATCCTATACTTTTGCCGAGAGCAAAAACGCGGGCTCTCGGCAAAGAAGACGTTTGCCGAGAGGGGCTCTCGGCAAACACCGGTCGTCGGCAAGTGACAGGATCGCCGTGGGTCTGCCTCTCGGCAAGAAACAGCTCTCGGCGAAGCGGGACGTTTTACCGAGAGCCGCACTCGGCAAAAAATGCCCGTCGGCAAAACGGTCCTTTGCCGTAGGCCGCGCTCTCGGCAAAATCAGGCTCTCGGCAAAACATTGCCGCGGGCCCATAGCCGTGACTTGCCCTGACGGCGTCACCGCTTTGCCGAGAGCCCCTCCGTTACTGCTCTCGGCAAACATCTTTGCCGAGCGCCGCTCTCGGCAAATGTGGTTTCTATATTTCATGTGCATGTGTTTCTCTTCTCCTAACTCTCTCCAAATTTCGTATTTTTTCGGAGCCGTTTGCTGTTTATTATTTTTTTTGATATTATTTGCCGAGAGCTTGAGGGGATTGCTCTCGGCAAAGGCTCTTTGCCGAGAGCAACTGGGCCCGCTCTCGGCGCAGATTTTTTTTTACCTGGCCTGGATCAATGGTTTGCCGAGAGCTGCTCTCGGGAAAGATTTATTTATTTTAGAAATATCATTTTTGTTCAGTTTGCCGAGAGCTACGCTCGGCAAATAATAATTTTTATTTTTTTTTAATATTTTTTTGTGCAGTTAGCTAGTTAAAAAATTCGAACGGAATTTGAAAAAAAAAATAACTTTACCGAGAGCCGGATCTGGAGCTCTCGGCAAAGGTGTAAGGTTTGCCGAGAGCCTCCCAGATCTGGCTCTCGGCAAAGTGGCTTCACACATTTAACCGTTTCGGCGCCTTATCTCTCTCACTCTTCACGCACGCACACACACCGCTGCCGCCGCGAGGAGCGCCGCCCAGCTCGGTGTGCTGCCGCCGCGAGCCTCTGCCCCCTCCGTTGCGTGGTTGCGTGGCTGCGGTCGCTTCTGGCGGGCTCCGGCCTGCCTCTGCCCCCGCCGCACGCGTCCGACGACGACCTACGGGCCGCTCTCGCCGACGGCTCGATCCTCGCCGCGACGCTCCGCAGGCTCGCCTGTGCTTTGACGCCCGACCAGGTAGGTCCTCGATCGCACGCACCACTAGTATGGGCTCCATTTGGGTTTTGGGTTTGTTGCTCGCCCGTGATCGTACGTCATCGCAACTGCAGGGCGGAGCCTCGGCGGCGGCGGTGGGGACGGGGAGCGCCTGGGCCTTCCCAGCTTTGCCGCCTCCGACCTTGACACGGTACGGTATTCTCCCTTGGACGACCATCAGCTGCTTCCGTAGCCTGTTGAAATTACTTCTGGACTGCACAAATGTATCGGATATATAAACAAATAATTTCTTCAATGATGGCTTTTTATAGTATCTGAATATGAACATCAGCCACGTTCCAGTGTGATGCCGTATTCGAGTACTATGATGATGCACGGGGTGATTTGTAGACCTTATGGAATCTTTTACTTGGGTTATTCTTCACTCTACAAAAATGCTCGAGCAAATTAGTTCTTATGAAATGAAAGTACAATTATGTGTCAAATTTGTCTTTCTAAAAATTTACATTCTTTTAATCATTTAGCCTCAAATTGTCTTATGTGAAAAGAAAAGCTGAATGCTACAAGGGGGTGAACACTAAAAGCTAGCTTATCAAGTATGTTATGAAACAGTGCTGTGATATCTTAAAGAGTTGGATTTTATAATTAGGCGCGAAACTGCAGATATTTGTTTAATGATGCGCTCTACTGAATGACCTACTATAGGCTTCTTAAAAGCATCCTATTGTGTAGAAAAAAGATCTTTTCCTTCATCTTGGTTTGTATTCCATAAGTCTCTGGCATTAGACTATTACCCTAGCAATATAGCATACATGAAAGTTAGTTGTGATCTTTAGTATGTGTTGACATGCATAACATCCAATGAAGCTCAGAGGTTCTTCCATCCAACTAGATTTGGCACTGTTTAGACACTCCAGTGACATGCATTTTGCAGCTTAGCATGTATTGCTTGCTGCTGTTCCTAGACATGCTAAGATCGTAGCTTTATTTTATAATGCAGCCTACAAGTACTGGCAATGCAAACTTGAAACCAGCACTGTCATTGTCAAGTCTGCATTTGCACATAATTGTTTCACCAACATACTTCTCATTTGGACGGTATATTTGCTTCATGAAGATTCACTACCGGAAAAACGTCCTTTGCCGAGATCCGAGATTTTTGCCGAGAGCAAAAACGCGGGCTCTCGGCAAAGAAAACGTTTGCCGAGCGCGGCTCTCGGCAAACACCGGCCGTCGGCAAGTATACTGTCCACCTAAGGTATAACCACTCTTTCTTTGTCCTGGTCATGTATCTCCACGTAACCCAGTTAGGTGTCTCCCGTTCGAAAGAGATACAGTTAGAAATATGCAGATCTTTGTATATCAATAACCGTATCTGTTTCGAATTGTCCATGTTTTTGATTAGCCAGGAGGATGTGCAGAGATGGTGTTAGTTTCCATGGTTCCTGCTCCGATCCAAGAAGCGGAGTTTCGACATTACCTTCTGTTGTTCTTCGGATACACAATCTCCCTGTCGGGACGTGTATTTGGAGAACAACGGGGAGGTGCTGCCAAAATTCTGTTTCGGATAGGACCAGACCATGGGAACTAACACCATCTACGCATCCTCGGGTGGGATTAGGACCTATGCTTACCTATTAGATGGTAGGAACGACGTGTAGATGCAAGTCCATGGTTATATTTATTACTTGGTGATATATATGTTAGAGGATGGATGACCGTGAGTGGATGTACTCGGGCCGCCGGAGTGCCCGTGAGATTACCAGAGAATGGGTCGACAAGACCGAGGCTTTCATCAAGCAAGTATTTGACCAGGCTCCCGGAGCACGTGCCGTTTTTTGTCCCTGCATCAACTGTAAGAACAGAAAGAGGCAAACAAAGGAGGTGATGACTTCACATCTGGCTAGGCATGGATTTACGAAAAACTATACCCAGTGGACCCACCACGGTGAAGCCGATCGTGTGAGAGAGGAGGTGGTGAGACCACGTGTCGAGGATTACAATGCTGATGCCGGGGTAGCAGCTTGGTTAGATGACTTTCACGAAGCACACTTCGCTGACGGACGTAGGCAGCAGGAGGAGGAGCCTGAGGCAAGCGCAAAGGCGTATTACAACATGTTGTCTGCGGCAGGGAAACCCCTTCATGGCCACACACAGATTTCAAAGCTTGATGGCATTTCACGCTTAATGGCCTTAAAGTCCCAGTTCAACCTCAGTCGAGAGAACTTTGATGAAATGTTGACAGTTATTGGCTCCATCCTTTCGGCCGGTCACCTTCTGCCATAGAACATGTACGAATCGTAGAAGGTCCTTCGTGCACTTAAGATGCCGTATGAGCAGATACATGCTTGTCCGAAGGGCTGCGTCCTCTTTAGAAAAGCACACGCGGATGCAAAGTACTGTCCAAAGTGTAAATCCTCTAGGTATCTGGAGGTAGACTCTGGTGATGGTGAGAAGAGGCAGAGTCCGTACCCCGTGAAAATCCTACGGTACCTTCCATTCATACCGAGGATCCAACGGCTATTCATGACAGAGGAGTCCACGAAACAGATGATATGGCACAAAAATGGAAAAAGATACAGTCCTGAGAAGATGGTACATCCAGCCGATGGTGAAGCATGGCATCACTTTGATAACATTCATCGTAACAAAAGTGGGGAGGCATGTAATGTGCGTGTTGCATTGGCTACAGATGGGTTCAATCCTTATGGAATGATGGCTGCCCCATACACTTGTTGGCCCGTGTTTGTTATCCCTCTCAATCTCCCCCCTGGCGTCTCCTTCCAACGACAGAATGTGTTCTTGTCGTTGATAATTCTAGAACACCCTAGGAATAACATGGGTGTGTTCATGGAGCCTTTGTTTGATGAACTGGTCCATGCTTGGGACCATGGTGTATGGACATACGATCGAGCTACAAAGACAAACTTCAACATGCATGTTTGGTATCAATACTCCATGCATGACTTCCTAGCATATGGGATATTCAGCGCTTGGTGTGTTCACGGGAAGTTTCCATGCCCCTTGTGCAAGGCAGCTCTGCAGATTCAATTGGGCTGCAGAGAGGGCGGCAAATATTCCGTGTTCGACAAACATCGACAATTCCTCCTGCTGAGCATCCATTCAGACGAGACATCAAGAACTTTACTAAAGGTGTCATGGTTCTGAGACCCGCACCACAGATGATGACCGGTGCGAGGTTCATGATCGAGATAGATGCTCTCCGGATCAATGAAAAAAGATGGTAGGTTCGTGGGATATGGTGAGGAGCATATGTGGACCCATAAGTCGCCCTTGATGATGCTCCCCTATTATAACGACCTTCTTCTTCCACACAACATTGATGTAATGCACACCGAGAAGAATGTTGCCGAGGCGCTTTGGGCAACGATCATGGACATTAAGGATAAGACGAAGGACAATGTAAAGGCGAGACTGGACCTGGCAATGATATGTGATAGACCAAAGCAACACATGCAACCTCCTAGAAGCGGCAAGAAATGGACAAGGCCTAAGGCCGATTACAGATTGAAACCAGAACAAAAGAGAGAAGTATTAGAATGGTTCAAAACATTAATGTTCCCTGATGGGTATGCAGCGAATCTGAGGAGGGGAGTGAACTTATCTACCTTGCGAATCAACGGCCTGAAGAGTCATGACTATCACATATGGATTGAGTGTCTTCTTCCAGCGATGCTCCGAGGCTATGTCCCTGAGCATGTGTGGAAGACGCTAGCCGAGTTGAGCTATTCCTTCCACCAGCTTTGTGCCAAGGAGTTATCTCGTAGCGTGGTTGCAGAATTGGAAAAAATAGCACCTGTGTTGCTCTGTAAGTTGGAGATGATCTTTCCACCCGGCTTCTTCAACCCGATGCAGCA